TGCTTAAAGTTCATGAATTGAGGACTTCTGAATAAGTAGTGGTAATTGAAACTCACAATAAACTATATCAAGTAGTTAATTATTTGATGTCAATATTGTGTCATTATTCTTTTTAACATTTAGAGCCCTTCAGGTTGGTTTCTGTGAACTTCCCATGTGACAGTCCAAGTAGTATTTGATAGTTTCCTTATTTTCCACTACGACTAGCTGTTCCAGACTTTTGTACATTCCCTGCTGCAGGCCTGGAATCAGCCAAGGAGCCCTGGTTCCTTTTATTGGGAAATAGGATTTAGAATCATAATATACATGGCAAAGTTACACATTTTTATTGGGTCATTGCTTCTAAGCCTTTTCAATTATCAGAACTAGCAAATACATTTTTTTGCTTTTGTTTGGAGACATAATCTTACTCTTTGAGGAATCACATTAGAAATATGACAACATAGTGTATGTATCAGAATTTTTTTAGACAGTATTGCTCTGTTGCCTATGCTAGAATGCAGTGGCATCATCATGGCTCACTGTAGCGTCAAACTACTGGGCTCTAGCGGTCCTCCTGCCTTAGCCTCTGGAGTAGCTGGGACTACAGGCACATGCCTCCATGCCTGGCTAATTTTTGTGTTTTTTTTATAGAGATGGGGTCTTGATCTTGCTCAGGCTTGTCTCAAACTCCTGAGCTGAAATGATCCTCCCGCCTCAGCCTCCCAGAGTTCTAGGATAACAGGTGTGAGCCACCATGCTGGGTGCAAATACATTTTTATGAGAAAAATGCATCATGAATTTATACTGATATTTCCAGTTCTAATTTAAGATTACAAGGACTTTATTTTTTGATTTTATGTTTGTATTTCTTTTCACTTACATTGAAAAATCACATTGAGTGATTTTATAAAGATATATTTTTATACTTTATCTGACAGTTTTAGTTGTTTTTTAGCAAGAGTTTGTTTTGAATAACCTAGCCTACCACAACCCTTAAAATGGAAGTGTTTTATCTTTTTATATTGAATTATCTCTCATTTGATATTTTTAAAAATAGTTAACTAATGCACATTTTAAAGTTTTATTCATTTTAAAAATTATATACTTGTAAGTACCATTAATTTTAATAAAAATGTACTTAACAGTAACAGGCTGCTTTCATAAATATTAAATAAACTTTACTTAAAATAATGTTTGTATTTTCTTTTACTGTTTTGTGTACCCCCCACCCCATATCTGTAGTACCTGTCACATAGAAGTGAGGAATGAATGGTACTCAGGGAATTTTAAATTACTAGGTAATATTCTAGTAGTATACATTAGATATGGAGTTTTCTTTTTTTAATTTTTAACATGAAACACTTTATTGACATGATTTCTTATAACATTTGGCAGAACCAGTGATTGTGGGACACACTGTGATAGGCTATTGTAAAAGTATTTTTTCTTTGTTTTCTATTTTTTAATATCCCTACTAATTTCTATTTAAAATCATAATTATGACCAGAAAAATCTCATTAGGAAGGAAATCCAATGATCCATTGTATCCTTATTCCTAAACTAAAGAAATATTTTTTCATCTTATATTAGGTGAGATACTGTTAAAACATACTACAGTGCTATTGTGGGAATATGTAAACAGGAGTGGGAAAACTGTTAGCCCTTGGACCAAATCTGGCTTACCACTGGGCCAGATCCAGTCATAGCTGTTTATTCATTTTGCTTTGGCTTCTTTTGCTCAGCAGCAGAAATGAGTAGTTACAACAGAGACTGTATGGCCCACCAAGTCAAAAAATATTTATTACCAGTCCCTTTAAGAAAGTTTGTTGATCTTTGATATAGAATATTTAGATATGGTTTCTTCCCACAAGATGGTTACTATTTAATGTTTTTTCCTAATACATTCTAACAGAGAGGTAGCCTTTTTTCATATTTTTAAAAGATTTTTAATTGACAAATGATAATTGTATTTATGGGGTACAATGTGATATTTGAAATATGTATATATTGTGGAAGGATTAAATAACACACATTAACATATTTATCACCTCACCTACTTATTTTTTTTGTGATAACCATTTTGACAATTTTAAGGTATACATTATTATTAACTGTGGTCACCATGCTGTGCAATGCATCGTTAAAACTTATTCCTTCCTTGTAACTGAAACTTGTACCCTTCGACCAAACCAACATGTCCTCCTTTCCCACTCTCCACCCCACTCTACCCACATACCCCCAGCCTCTGGTAAACTTCATTATACTCTCTGCCTCTACGAGTTCAACATTTTTAGATTCCACATGTAAATGAGATCATACAGTATTTGTCTTTCTGTGCCTGGCTTAATTTCACTTAACATAATGTACTCCAGGTTCATTCATGTTGCTGCAAGTGACATGGTTTCCTTTTAAAGGCTGTATAGTATTCCTGTGTGTGTGTGTGTGTGTATGTATCACGTTTTCCATTCATTATCCATTCATCACTTGACGGTCATTTAGGTTGCTTCCATACTTTAGTTACTGTGAATAATGCTGCAGTGAACATGTGAGTGAAGATATCCCTTTGGCATGCTCATTTTGATTCCTTTAAATTATATACTCAGTAGTGGTATCATCCTGGGTATATACCCAGTAGTGCTGGATCATATGATAATGCTATTTTTAGTTTTTTTAGGAACCACTGTACTGATTTCCATATTGGCTGTACTGATTTCCATTCCCACCAACAGTCGTGGGAATGTACAGTGGTTTCCTTTTCTCTGCATCCTCACCAACACTTATCTTTTTTATTGTCTTCTTGATAATAGCCATTCCAGCAGGTGTGAGTGATTCTCATTGTGGTTTTGATTTGCATTTCCCTTATAGAGATGTTTGAACTTTTTTTTTTCATATCTGTTAGCTAGTCATATGTCTTTTGAGAAATGTCTGTTTCATGTACTTTGCCCACTTTTTAATTAGGTTGTTTTTATTCTTGCTATTGAGTTGAGTTCCTTATGTATTTTGGATATTAGGCCCTTATCAATTGTGTGGTTACAGATATTTTTTCCCAATCTGTAGGTTGTTTCTTTTCTCTGTTTATTGTTTTATTTGCTATGCAGAACATTTTCAGTTTGATACAATCCCATTTGTCTATTTTTGCTTTTGTTGCCTGTTCTTCAGAGGTCATATTCAAGAAATCATTTCTTAGAACAATGTTGTGGAGCTTTTCCCCTATGTTTTCTTCTAGTAGTTTTAAAGTTTGAGGTCTTAAGTTTAAGTCTTTAGTCCATTTTGACTTGATTTTTATATATGGTGTGAGGTAAGGCTCTAATTTCATTCTTCTGCATGTGATTATACAGTTTTCCTAGCACCATTTATTGAAAAAATTGTCCTTTCCTTATTGTGTGTTCTTGGCACCTTTGTCGAAAACCAATTGACTATAAATGCATGGGTTTATTTCTGGGATTTCTATACGGTTTCATTGGTTGATATGTCTGTTTTTATCCCAGTACCATGCTGTTTTAATTATAGTAGCTCAAAAACATATTTTGAAATCAGAAAATATGGTAACTCCAGCTTTATTCTTTTGGTCAAGATTGCTTTGGCTAGAATATGAATTTTAGCATTGTATTTTCTGTTTCTGTGAAAACAGACATTAGATAAATGTAGAGTTTTGTTTAAATATCTCCAAACTTAAGCAAACATGTGTTGAGCAATTAACTCTGTATAAATTGTTTTGTTAGGATTGTAGGTATACACTTATGAAGAAGACATGGTCTCTATGCTCAGTAAGTTTAAAATGAAGCATCTATTGCTGTTCAGTTTTAATTAGCTTTAAAACATATACTTACATGTTTTAAAATAGCAATATTTCACTTAACATTAAGTCAAAATTCTCAACATGGAAAGTTCCTAGAAGACTTTGTTTTCCTTCAGTTCTAAGGCTCCAGCTGATTCCACTTTGATTTTTGTTCTCAGTTTTTTTATGTTTTCAAGCAGAGCTCTTAGTCGCAGTGAATACCATTTATCTCTGTGGAGTTTTGCCATGTTTCTTTTGGGCCACATTGTGACTTTAAAGATTTTAAATTTAATTACTACCCTTCCAGTAGCTCTTCTTTGTGACCTGATTATATATATCCCTTTCCAAGATGACGTCTTCCTGAGAATAATAGTCATTAATATATTTATATATTTTTATATCTTTATATTATTTGAAAATTTAATAAACTACTCTATAGGAAATTATTAAAGAAAAATAAACATTAAATATTGAACTCCCAGTATATATCTAAACTTATCTCTGATGTATATAATAACATTAATTTAGCTTTTGGTGATAGTGTTTGTGTCTAAAGTTGTGTGTATCCTCCATTATATATACATATTTGCACTGTAATAGTGTTAAAACACAACCATATTATAATGTTTTTATCTTATAATTTTTTTCTAATTTAAAGTTATTAATGGTAGATATTTAAATATACATATATACTATTTCAAAATCTTAAGTAACAGTATATAAACAAATAGTTCTTACCTTGAAAAAACACAGTTCATTAATCCAAATACGTATTTTTATTTTGTCATTTGTAGTATGAATCTACTTTCTAAAAACTATAATGAATAGTATATTTTCTCAAAATTACATTTGAGTAATTTTCTTTTCATTATCTTTTAAAAGAAAAAAATGAATAAATCAAATTAAACCAGGAAACTCTTAGTTGCCTGTCTAATTCCACAAATTGCTATCATATTCCTTTATGTAAAGTAAGAAATACTATATATAAATACTATATATATTGCTTCTGTTTCTTGCATTCATCTTTATACATTCTGGTTTCCCCTTTGGTTTTAACCTGTGCTAATATTCGATATGTGGGTCTGATACTTATTTTTCACCAATAGAAAATGTTATGGGAGACTATAATTAGAGAATTAGACCAGCTTTATTATTTTAATATGTTTACAAATATGGAAGTTGGGGCATTGCATATTTTTAAATATATTCTGAAATGATTTCCTTGTCTATTTTGCTTTAGTTTTTATCAGATTCGTGCATCTATGAAAATTCCACCAAGAATTCCCCACAGAGTAGAAGCTAGTTTGTTACATGCAACAACAGGTAAGCCAAGGAATATTTTTAAATTAAAATAAAATCTGAAGTAACATTATAATGTGCAATAATAACCTTTCAGGATTTTTTTATTACAAATATAAGATATGAAACAGCATCATTATGATGTCCATTATAAGAAACATATCAGGGGCCAGGTGGGGTGGAGTGGCTCATGCCTATAATCTTAGTGCTCTGGGAGGCCGAGGTGGGAGGGTGGCTTGAAGTCAGGAGTTCCAGACCAGCATAAGCAAAAGTAAGACCTCATCTGTACTATAAATAGAAAAAATTAGCCAGGCTTAGTGGCATGTGCTTGTAGTCCCAGCTACCATATTTCCCCAAAATTAAGACCTACCCATAAAATAAGCCCTAGCAGGATTTCTAAGCATTTGCGCAATATAAGCCCTACCCTGAAAATACGACCTAGTGATGGGCGTGGCTGTATCTGCACAACCCATGAATTTCGTCTCTGAGAGGTAAAGAAGACGAGCAGCCCTTCTCATCTGCCCCATGAGAGCTCTATCGCTCGACGTGAGAGATTGGGGCCAATAGTTCTAAATGAAATAGAGTCACAAGAAATTCAGGATGGAATTTGGGGTTTGGAGAGTTATGATGATGTTCTAGAAGAAGACAGCTACATTTGAATAAATGTAGATTGTTGTACTGTACTTAAAAAAAATAACACATCCCCTGAAAATAAGTCCTAGGGTGTCTTCTTGAGGAAAAATAAATATAAGACCCTGTTTTATTTGGGGGGAAACACTGTACTAGGGAGTCTGAGGCAGGAGGATGACTTGAGCCCAGGAGTTTGAGGTTGCTGTGAGCTAGTCTGACACCACTGCACTCTAGCCTGGGTGACAGAGTGAGACTTGTCTCAAAAAAAGAAAAAAGAAAGAAAGAAATATATTGGAATCTCAACAGAACAGGCTTGATTATAGATACTCTGTCTCTTAGGTTTCTTGCCATGAGCACATGAAAAAATATATATAAAAGTTTCATGAAAACAAACATAGGTAGAAGTGGTATTAGTTATATTATGTAAAATACAAAGTAAAAAGATGTAAAGTAAACATAAACATATTTAACTTATGATTACAAAAAGGTATTTGAGAATAAAGTTTCATAGTATGCATTTTGAGAGCATTTTTTTAACCACATTTTATTCTGTATTAGGTACTTTAATTATAAAACAAAGAGCCAGAAGGCAGTGTAGGAAGGCATGAAATAGACGTGTTATAACAGTTCTGTTAGTTAATTCATATTCTAAGGAGAGACACCAGCATTAAAAGTTTAAGTTAAAACTGGTGGCCCTGACATAATTAGTGTACATTTTTCAGCTTTCCCAATACAGTATATGCTGTTTTATTCCACGTAGTTAGGAAATGAAATGGCAATGAAACATTCTAAAAAGTTATCATAGAAGCCTAATGTGAATTACTAGTTTTTAAAGCATCATAAATATAATAAAGTGCACCTAACACTGAAGCTTTGCTGAGCATAATTCAGTCCATTTTTGAAATGTAAAAAAATTTTGTTAAAATTTGAAGCGTTTAAGATTATCTTTTTATTATACTGTGGATACTAAAATGCTGTTAATGTTAAAGTTTAAGGAATTGTACATAATGGAGAATTTTTCTTCCTGAAGACTGTCAAAATCTTCCGGAAGGTCTGTTGCTCATGACCAAAAGAAAAAAAAGGAGATTATATATATATATAATCTCCATTCATTTTCTTAAAATGAAGAAAAAACTTGTTGGTCTGGCATACATGTTAATCTATATATTTATTGTCATAATAGATCTTCTTTTGTAAGTCTACTTTCAAGAAACACAGAAGTAGTAAAACAACTGTTGTTTCAAGACAGATTTGGGTACTGCCTATTGAACTTCCTCAAATCTAGTAGACTAAATCTCTTGCTCAATTTTATCTGCTGAAGTTGCCAGTTGAGGAGAACCCTCAGACTATAGTTTGTGAGATATTTTCAAGATGCCAAGATACTTGACATAAATTCCAAAAGATTAAATAGGTTAACCACTTTTAAGTAGTGAATTTTAAAAATAGAATCGGTTTATTCTTTGTGATTGTGAAGTTTGTTGAGAAATAATGTCAACCCTGTAAATATTAATTCTTGACTTGTAAAATTTTTCTCGTGTGAGAACCTGGGAGATTTTTTTTGAAATTGAATTAATAATCTATACCGAAGTTAACATTTTTGTATTTTGGGTTATTTTAATATGGAATTAATGAAATAACATTGCTTTTTAAATGTTTGGAGATGAGATTATTTAATCAAGTTAACTCACAAAGATCTATTCAAGGGAAAAGAAAGAGATAAGAATTCTAGAAAGAGAAATGCGGAAATGGTACAAAACAGACAAAACCAGATAAATTGTAAATTCTTAGCAAATGGTTGAAAGGCCAGAAGGAAGGGTGCCAGAAGCAATTATTTGCTTATTTCCTAATTTCAGTCACTATATAGTCTTACTTATATAAAACCCAAAAACCTTGTTATGTTAGGTATTATTTCTTCATTCTTTCATTATTACTATTCTGGACAAACAGATTTCATGTTTAAAAGATTAAAAAAATTCTCTATTACAAATGAAACATTTTTAATCACTAATTTTTTTATTTAGCATATTTATCATCTAGAGAATTGTTTCTATCTTGTTTCTCTCAGATTCTAAATAACTACCTCAGAGGACTAGAAATTTTATCCATGCTTGGTATTACAAAGGTATTACAAAGAATGATTATGGATATCAGAATTAATAGCCAATAGGAATGATGAGTAGGGGACAAATCTGTCATTTGAAAGTAAAATCTTGTTAGTTAGATTTTTATTTTTATTTTTTTTTTTCTTTTCTTTTAACTTTAAATTTTAATTTCTTTTTTCTTTTTTTTTTCCTCAAGCTGGGTTAAGTTGAAGTTAGATTTTTGCATTGGTATAGAATATATAATTAGATGTCACAGCATTTAATTTGATCAATAGGTTTCATTTAAAACTATTTGCTTCATAGTAATGTAACTTCCTCCTTTCTCAGTAAGTTATCTTGAGCTAAACTGTATGAAAACATTTTTTCTAGCTCTACTTCTTGACTGATGAGTTGAGGATAAGGAAGAACATCAAAATTAAGTTGTCAAGAGATTTGACAGTAACCCCTGATTCCTCCTACTAGCCCAGGAGTCCTTGAGTGACTTTGATGGGGGCTACTTATGTTACAGTTCAATCAGAACACCTTTTTCTGCCCCCTGTCAGGAAGAAAATGGTATCATCTTGATTGACAATAATTTGGAATTAAGAACCTAGGGCAGGGATCTCAGGGTCTAGTAGTAGTTGCAGTGATCTAAAGTCAGGTGTGTCATTCATTAAATTCTGGTCCTTTGAGAACAGTTTATATCCTGACAACTCAGAGTAGATGCTATGTTTTGAAGAACATGTATGTACTTTATGGCAACAAGGAAATGTCTTTTCTGTGTTTTCACAGCATAGTTGTTTTTCCAAGGCCTTTTGAGTGTTTGGCCTTCAGTAATTTGTGAGCTAAGTACGTGAGTTATACTGTTTCCTCCAGTGACTACTTACTGTAACAACTGAGCTTCCAGATCTGGTGATTGTTCATTTATTATTGTATTTGATAGTGACAGGGTGGCTCTATAGACTCAAATCAAGATTCTTTTCATAGCTAGTTTCATGGCATCAACTCATCATTCAACTTTTATTAGCTGATACCTAATCTTTGAAACATTAACAATTTAAATATTGTGATATTTGTATTTAGCCTTCTCTTATACCAAAAGCTTCTTCCATTTCATGTTTTATGTTTCAAATGAATATATTCTACTTGATTTGGTCTTGATTTACTTACCAGAAAAGTAAAAATTTTATAGCTGTTCAGTACCTTTGTCTTTTTAAGAGAAAAAAATATTCTAGAAAAAGATAGAAATGGATTTATTTTATGGCCAACCCTATTTGAACCAAGCTCCATAATCATTACTCTATCAGCTAAATGCTGCTTGGAAATGATTTGATTTTTATAAAAATTGACACAAGTCAGACTTTAATTTCTAAGTCATCTATATGGCAGAAATATCACATAATTAATATCATTTACAAAGTAATATTATTTTGACATTATGACAAATTGTGTTTCAAAAATGCCTAGATAGACTACCTTCTCTTAACCTTTTCCTGGGGCCTGTGATTTTTCATTTTTCTTATTTATAAGTCTAAATTTAATCATTGTAGCTGCCAATTCAGTTTCTAGGTTCTGATACTATCAACTGTGTATTATACACTATGAAATAAGTATGATCTGTTAGTTTACTAGTGTGGAAAGGAAATACTTTTTAAAAATAAATTCTTTGTAACAGAAACCAGTCTATAAAAGAAAAGCCTGGTTTGGGAAAACAATAGATTTCTAAAAGATTTTAGCTCATATGTGGAAGCATTATCTATATATGTATTTTTATAGCATTATACCAGGGATTTTTTAGGAGATTGCATACTTTTTAATTATAGCTGCCAAAATAGCAGTTACAAGAACTAGATTTTGGACCAGGAAAGAAAGAAATACATAAAATCTCTTTCATACTTTTTTCTCATTTTTTTTCAAAACAGCAAATTTTTGTCTGTCATGTCTGAAATGTACTATACCAAATATGATTTCTCAAGATTTTTTCTATTCCAAATGTTGTTATCAGTGTGTTTTAGTTTTAACTCTATAACTTAGGATATTTTGTTTTTCTTGTTTATGGTATGCAAAGATATCTGAAAAGCTTTACAAATAAAGTGCCTTGAACAAATTGTGATGTGTGCATCACAATTTTTCCTTGCCCGGCATTATTCCCAATATGGTTACCTTTTATATTGTGTAGTGTTCTGCAGTTTTGAATCTTGTTTCATCCTTTGGACACCTCTATGGTAAGGTAAATGTGGTTAGATCTCATGTATTTCATGCCAGTGATGCCCAGAATAGCCTCTGTCTTGTTAAATTAATATGCAAATTACA